TATTTGACTCAAAGGTAGTGGGTTTCATATCGTTGACAGGAAAGCAATTGTTTTGTATTTGTGACCAATTTTTTTAATTAGATATGGATCCAGGGTTTGGAGCGCAGCAGTGAAATATTTGTGAAATCATTCTCGCATGGTAGTTTTCAATAGATCCGCGCAACCTTTGTAACTCCAAAGGAAATGCTGTGCTTTAGGATAATGATGAGAAGAGGTGCTTTTTTTTGCTGTGAATCATGCACTGAGCGTAACCCCGCATTGCATACCCGTCAGGTACCCAATGCGCAAGAATTTTTCACTTGTCTGTGCTGTATTTGCATTTGGCGTTTGAGGTAGCGGCACTTTACCTGTATTATACGGATGGTCATCGTCAAATTTGACCCGTGTTGCCAGTAGTAGTAGCTTTTTGGTTTTCTGGTGTTTCTAGTTTTGTTTGGGCAGATGTGATCGCTGAAAGGCTGCTGCTGCATAATAAGTTGCCGAATTGAATTTGCTTTAGGTGTCTATTAGGTGAGGCACTGTTCTTTCAACATTTGTGATCTCCCGGTCAGCTCTTGGGAATTTCTCTAGGCATCTTCTTTACTTTCCAAAAAATAATTTAATTAACTGTTATTTCCTGTTTGCCTCATATTCTCCTACTCGAGGTAGGGGAATATTGTAATTTGAACACAAAGTTTTATTTTTGTAATTTAATAAATTTTATGAGTTCAAGCTCCCATTTCCAAATTGTGGAAGCCGTAGTTTTTTTTCTTGTTTGGTGGAAGTTTACTCTAGTTATTATCATTGCATATTTGGTTTTCTTGGACGGTACGGCAAAAATTGAGTATGAGCATACAGAGTCTCGTAGGGATTGAACGACAGTTAAGAGTCAGCTTCAAAAAAGCCAAGGGAACGCGAAAAATTTTTTTATGCTTTGCTAACTGAATCTGGGAAACTTCAGCTTCTGGAAGATAAGAAGTTATGGGAATTTGTTGAGAAGAAATTATATTTCGATTTGGGAAATGTCAGGGTGAAACAGCACTTTAAGTGGTATTGTTTATCCGCAGTGTTTTCGGTCTGGTTTTTTGGTCCTCTCGTACTGGATTTAATAAAGTTTTTTTTCGCAGTTTTTCATTTCCAGGATGGTAGAAAGACGCCTTTGGGAGCACTATCTTCATTAGGAAGGTCAAAGAAATCTTCAGAAGTCAGTGTTGCTGCAGCGAAAGCCAGGCCAGGAGATTCTGCTGATCTTTTGAACGAGGTTAGATTTTCACTTTTATTTTTTCTTTTTTTATAATCAGTTCTTTGTTAGTTTTTAAGTGACTTGATTGCTTTTGTCTTTAAAGTTATTGTTTCTTCTTTATCTGATCGAGCTGAAGTGTTCAGAACGAGGTTATTTTAAGTAGTGGCTCTGTGAACTTAAGTTTTGTGTAGGTAATGGTGTTGTTTTCAATATTGTCGGTCAAAAGTCCTGTTAGCTACTTTTCTTACGCTATTTATTTGAGCTATGCGTCAGATGAAAGCAAGCTAAACTTCTTAAAAGTCGTAATTTTAAATATTTTCAGAAGGTTACTATTTTAGTTTTTGCTACTTTGCTGAAGATTTTCAGTCACATTAATTTATTAAGCTTTTTAAGCTTTTTTTGCTTTTGTTCTTCTGTTGAGGTTCTTGAACTTTCTTTGATGAGGATAGAGATTTTATAAATTGGTGTTGATGGTTATGGGTATTTACATTCGCGGAACTTCTGTCGTTTCATTCTTTTAGTAACTTTATTTTTCTTTACACGTTTAATATGGAGGGGTCACTTTGACGCTTTGATGTGTTAAAAGCATAGAAGGTTTTAGAGTTTTCATTTTATTTGAAGCAAAGTCGGTCACGATTCGTTAGAAGGTTGCTCCCTGGCGTTTCTGCGAGTCAACTGAGCAAAAGTGCTGGCTTCGCCGGTTGTTCGCCACATCCTCCTCACTCATCAGAAGATATTCATGCGTCATCTCGAGCACTTCACAGTGTGGTTTTTTTTTCTTTGATTTTTTAACAAAAGGAACTTTCTCTGGAGGTGCTGGCCTACTTGGTTTTATATTTTCCGAACGAAGAAACTTTTATGAGTTACATTTTAGAACTTTGACCAGCCGGCCGAAAGATCTGAGCAGTTTTCTCGCCAAGAAAATCACTATTTAAGTGGTATTATTTTCTTTTATCACTTTATTCTTTTAATGATCTTGACAGTAACGAAACGTTTTTATTTTTTAAATTCAAACCGTCTTCTGTGGAAATAAGAGATTTTGAGGCTGCCAATTTAGTTAACTTTTTTTCCTTAATTATTGTTATATTTTAAAGACGTAAATTTCTGGAAATCTCGAGTGTTTATTATTTATTTTAAGATTTTTGTGAGTAATATAAATTTAGGAAGGCGTGTTGGTGTTGATTTTGCGCGACAGGTGGATAGTTTTCGAAGTGAGCAAGGTTCTACAGCGTTAGGGTCGAAGTGAGTTTGGATTTTATATGACTTTGACCAGGCTTTATTTTACTGTGCTTTGTAGTTTTGACAGTGCACTTAGGGGTTGTAGATATCAAGGACGTTTGTCTGAGGACCTTCCCCACAGTAACCGTACCGAACCGCGTTTTTTTGTCCGAAGTGGTGAAAAAATTTCGTTTGTTGACAGGGAAAGGAGCAACTCCGGTCATGAAATTTCAAGTGGCCGACGTAGTCAGCTTTTGTCATCCTAGCTTTACAGTTTTGATGCTGTTTTATTTTTTGCTACATTCTTAAATTTTATTCATTTTGCTGGTTTCCCAGTTGCAGGAGTGTTTTTTTTTTACAATTAATCTTTTTCACTTGTAGAAATTATTCTTTAAGGAAAGTGATTAATGTGTTTACAGCACCCCTTTTTCAAGTTGATGACGTTAATAAAGACCGTGAGAATCGTTCTCACTATTATTTGCGTAGGTTAGTTAGTTGCTTGTTTTCTATCCAGTTTTTCAATTGTTCATTGTCCTCTACAGGCATCGCTCTGTTTCCTTTCATTCAGAGTTTAAAATTTTTTTATTGTCACAGTTTCTTTTGGTTGTGTTTCTGGTCTTCCTCTATTTGTCAGACATCTGGCATCTTTCTAAATTCTTTGAATTGATATGGAAAATTACTAGGCAATAACTCTCAAAATCAACACTGGTATATCGTCTACTTTTTTATTGTAACAATTGCTACAAGCAGCTAATACATTAAGTATAGAGGCCGTGTTTATCGGTTTAAAACTAGTTTTGAGCCGAGTGGTGTTATTACAGAGAAAAATTTGAAATACTTAGATATCTTGATGTCTACTTAGCTCCATTAATTTTTAAAGTACTGATTTCACCAAAATATTTTTTTGCTGTTTTTGAGAAATGTCATTTTGGTAACACTGATAATTGATTCTCATTGCTTGTGTTATGAAGTCTTTGCATTCTTGAGCTAGTTCTTTTTATATATTAATAATTCTTTTACCAAAAAATGGAGCATGACCTGCTGTGTGTCTAATTACTAAACTCTCAATTAGTGTTTTGAACCGTCAGTTTGTTTAGGTCATCAGCTAGCCCTCCCTCTCTCGCCAGAGAGAGCCCTCCTGTTGCTGTTAGCGGTAATGGAAAAAATTCCGACGGTACTCATAAATCCGGCATAGAGGTAAACTTCTGTTGAACGTTCTGAACTACTCTTCTTTGGAGCTTTATAGTTTCATTTCAATTAATAACTTTTTAGGCTTAAAAATGAGAACCATTCGTTGATAATCTTTTGCTTGCAAAAAATAATATGTCGAAAAACGGTTTTTCACTGGAGAGGAATTAATTTTGTAAGGACTGACGACTTATACTAGTTAAAAATAAGCAGTTAAGCTTAAAGTGTCCAATTATAGTGTAACTTGCAAAATAAGAGTCGCCGTATGAAACTAGCGACAGTAATCGAAGTTGCGGCAGAAGAAAGTCCTGATCGTTTTATTTTGGTTGGTTCATGTGTACTTTTAATACATTATTTGGTTCGTTATTTACTGCTTCAGGGTTGGTGTTATACCATTTCCAAAGTCTGATAAGGACTTTCTTAATAACAGGTTGAGCACTAAAGTCTGACATCATTCAATAGCTTTTATTGAGAATATTACAGTTATCGTCTCTTCCTGAAGTGATCAAACCCCTTTACGGAAGAAATTTTGATCCAGAAGTCGAACCAGGGATACATATGTCGTATAGAGACATTATAAAAGAGTGCTGTGGTGGAGCACTTGATTTAGCTAAGCTTCCAGACGGAAGGGTAAGTTTTTACTACAGCTTTTTCCAATTCTTTGTTTCTTGGTTTTAGAACTTTTTTACCTGTTGGGTGGAGTTGTTTAACATTTTTTGAATTTAGGAACTGGTGGTTTTTAGAAAATCACCGTGACGTTTGCTGGCCAACATTTAATTGCCTTCTGAATGCCTTCAAAGAAAGGTTTTGTTTGACCGGGTAGTGTTAAAGAAGTGATCGTTTCGAAAATTTTTTTGGGCTGAAAAAGACGTGTGAGACTAATTGTCTTTGAAAGCTGTTTCATCCTTTATAGAAACTTCTATTGTGAGTGAAACTCTCGTCTTTATCTCAATACAGGTTATTTTTTGAAATATTTTGCCTATTGTTCTGGGCCTGCTGTGTCTATATCAAATGAATGTTTTTTTTGGTTTGTACGAAACTAAAGTAGAAAAATTTCTGGTAATCTACATCATAGGTGTCACTTAATCATAATTTTTGCTTCTCTTGTAAAAGTTTGATTATGTTTTGATTAATTTTACCATGTTGCGCATTCTCTAGCAGTTGGTGCTTTTGCTTCACACTTTATTAATAAATTATTGTGAATACGTTACCACATTATACTCTTCTATAATTTTAAGAAATTAATTTAGAGGTTCTAGAAAATCACACTGATTGCTT